GCGCTGTAGAGTCCCGTATCTATATGACCCGAGAATCGCTCCTTTCCTCCGGGCCAATTGATACACGCACATTGAAACGTATTGAAGGGAAGCGTTCTGTTGCCTCGTCCACGTGTTTTCAACCTCGTCTTCATCTTTATTCAGCGCTTAATAAGCTTCTTCCTGATGAGCGTGCGTCCTGAAATGCCGGAGCGTCTTCGTTGACTAATATAGCGCACCTTCAACGCTTTGGCGTCGTACAAACGACGTGCAACTCGCTGATAAGCGCGACGTTGCCTGGACTGGCTTCTTAAAAACTACCGTTATATATCCTTGACTTGGCTCACTCGTGTAGCCTCCAATTTAGTAAGCTGTGCCTGAGGTGCAAATCGTCCGCCATTATCCCGTCATTGTCACGCGTTTGTAAAGTATAACTAGACAATTGCATGTGATCGTCCGTCATCAAGATTAGTAATGCGTGTATGATGCCGTTTCGCATTAACTTGCAGAGTACGCGCGCAGGCAACTTGCACGTAATGATCTCTCGAAACCGAGGAACTTTCGGCGTTTAGGCAACGTGTCGTCCAATATGGCGGCCCCCCCGGGAGTAGCTGCATCGACTACATATATACTTGGTCACTTGAATTACAGGGCCTGGAAGCCGGCAGCTTTCATAGCACCATCTAGAATTGTTCTAGAGGGAAGCCGGATGTTCTTGCCTATGGTAGCCGAAAGTGTACCATGGGCGTCAAACGAAACGCGAACAGCAGAGCGAGTGGGCCCAACCATTAGCAACGGTGCAGTGCGCTCCGTCCAGTCATCACCACTGACAGGTGCGCTCATCCGGTTTGACAGCACTGCATGATGGCCCTACAGTGCAATATTTTGTTCGCGTTCGAGTATTGATATGGTGCTGATAGTGACCGGTATGGGCGCGCCGAGCGCTTTTGGTCGTTTCACTTTTATTTTGTTTTATTTTTGTTGCCTTCGTTTCGAATACCAAGAATAAAGCTGAAGCGGACATACCGGACTGTAAGTAAATCCGGATGTAATCCGGATGTATCCGGATGTAAGTGAATCCGGATATACCGGATGTAAGTGTTGCCAGACCGGATGTGCGGAGCGGACTTGGGGCGCACACTACAGCTATGTAATGCTTGCAGTACCCACTCGATCTATACCTGTAGTGTTTCATTTGACGTTGATTGTATTCTTTCGATGTGAATCCCGAATCTGAAATTTCCTGGAGTTTTTATTACGTGGCCTAATATTTTATTGGAGTCGTTCTGGTGGCGGGGGGGGGGGGGGAGCGAACAGTTTCATGAACCAGCGAAAATATTCACGCCATCGGCTGAAATTTTTTGCTTTTGTTAAGTGGGTGCTAAGTAAGAATGAGATAAACCAGTTCTTATGAGAGTACAAGATACGCACCCTCGGATGCACATGTTGCGTCTTTAACGCCTTCAAGGGTGCAACACCTGCGTAAATGTTAGGCAGCACCATCAAAGGTGGAAAATTTGTGCACTTCATTCTAAAAAGAGAGAAAAAAAATCAGCATACCCCACTTACTTTAAGACTCAACGCTATTCTGAGCGTGCGGAGAAAAGGTGACCGTGTTGTAATTTTTCTATTGAGCGACACGTTATAAAGTGACGCTAAATATATGTACAAATGTTGCACGCAGAGACTTATGTTGAACAGTCGCAGATGTTTATATAACCAGTTCGTTTCGTTCATTGAGCTCATTATTCATGACAGGACCAGCGAGTCTTATTCGTCAAACCATCTTGCCCTCCCATACCAACTTTGGTTCACGCCAGAGGGGGATCACGAGGGCACCCATACGTAAGCGTATAGATAAGATAGATAGATAGATAGATAGATAGATAGATAGATAGATAGATAGATAGATAGATAGATAGATAGATAGATAGATAGATAGATAGATAGATAGATAGACAGACAGACAGACAGACAGACAAACAGATAGACAGATAGATAGATAGATAGACAGACAGACAGACAGACAGACAGACAGACAGACAGACAGACAGAGAGATAGATAGATAGATAGATAGATAGATAGATAGATAGATAGATAGACAGACAGACAGACAGACAGACAGACAGATAGATAGATAGATAGATAGATAGATAGATAGATAGATAGATAGATAGATAGATAGATAGATAGATAGATAGATAGATAGATAGATAGATAGATAGATAGATAGATAGATAGAATGTCAATCAGTATCCTTAAGGGTGCTAGCTAAAAACGAAAATATCAACTTTGCGCCCTTAGAAAAAAACAAGACAATGTGAAGCAACACCACTATATAGGGGTGAATCGGTAAACAGTGCGATAAATGACAACGTTTAGCTGCGCAAGATAATTTCGCTCTACATAAGAAACCCCGCGATTGCGTACTTCGAGGTATTTTGTGTACAGCACATATGGGTTTTTTTTATTCGTACATCTCACACTAGCACTATACAATCATACGAATTGTCTGCGCCATAATATCCGTTGCTATGTTATACCTGCGAAGAAAAATGGCTATTTGGGCTAGTTGGTTTGAATTCATGGTAATAAGGGCTGCAGCGCGAGCACGAAGGTGCTAGAAGAAACAGACGAAAGGGGAGGCACGGAAGGCAAAGAGGACAACACGAGCGCTGACTACCAACTGGATTTTATTATTCGCAGCACACATGATAATATATACAACAGGCAACCTTTTAACAGAAAACATAGTGACGGATGCGTGAGCCAACCTTCGGTGGCCTTGCATGACAAAGAGTTCGCGCTTTTAGATAAGGGTTAGCCATTTTATCATTGTACCTTCTTTTTATCAGACCATTCCCCGGAATATGTCACGTTGCTCACGTTTGCTGTTAAAAGGTTGTCTGTTGTATATATTATCATGTATGCTGCGAATAATAAAATTCAGTTGGTAGTCAGCGCTCGTGTTGTCCTCTTTGCCTTCCGTGCCTCGCCTTTCGTCTCTTTCTTCTATACACCTTCGTGCTCGCGCTGCAGCCCTTATTACCATGTATACCTGCGAACTCTTTAATCTCATCGGCCCACCTAACTTCCCGTCTCCCCTTCGTGCGTTTGCCTTCTATGGGAATGCGGTTAGTTACCCGTAATGGTCAGTATTTGTTCTGCCTACGTGCTGTACGTACCCGGCCCATGTCAATTTATTCTTCTCGATTTCAACTATGATATCCTTATGACCCAGGTTTGTTCCCTGACCCGCTCTGCCCTTTTCTTGTATCTTAAAGTTACACCTGTAGTTTTCCTTTCCATCGCTCGATGCGTCATACGATCGAATAAATGTCTTCTAAAGCACTTTGAAATAGGCAGGGGCATATATCACGGGCACACGCGGTATTACATCCACCGCGTTTGCTACACCCGAAGAACTCAATCCGCGTGAGAAGATAAAAGTGCTGCACGCATGTAAAGAACCGACTTTTACCCCGCAAAAAAAAAAAAAAGAGCGCCGCGTTGTAGCGGAAACGAGGGTTCCGTTTCGCGGACACGTATTATACGCCTTAAACGTCCCAAGAACGCGGCAGCACTTGCTCGATTCCGGAAGCGGAAAAGGAAGCTGCCGGGACAGAGCACATAAGACGACCGGAGGAAAGAATGGCGACAGCACGGCTTTACAAAGTTCATTTTTGTGTGTGTGTGTGTGTGTCGTTACATTCCTCCAGTGTCCTAGACCCTTTCCGCAAGTCTCCCTCGCGGTACAAAGTCAGACATAGACACATGTCATGTCATTTAACGCATGGGCTGTACAGCGCTCATTCGCTGATATCGCACATGCACGCAACTTGGTGTATTTCACTCATATCCGCAACATCTGACTCGCGTGAAGTCTCTATCTACACGGTATGCACTACCCGTAGTGCACGGAACTCGGGTGACTGCCTACAGATACGCGTAGACCGGAAGTTTGGAAGAAGCGTTTACCGCAGGGTGCTCATATGTGCAAACACACATTGGAACGGGTGGAATCTTTTCGAAAATCATTTATACTGGATCTGTTCCTGGTGGTATTTGCGTTGGTGTTTTTGGGGATGTGAAGAATATTATCTGCTGAGTAAGGGCTGCATATTTATAATGAAGACCTTCAAATGTCTTACAAGAAGTGCCGAATGTAGGAATATCTCCATAGGAAGAGGAATGATCTGAGTCGCGGCGGGAAAATTAGGACAAGACAGGTATTCCGTTGTTTGTAAACGTTTTCGATAGAATCTCGAAGGTGGACGACGTTGGCGTATCGACATGGTCTTGAAACATAATGTTGATGTGTGAAACTCCGCTGTTCTACATACATACATACATACATACATACATACATACATACATACATACATACATACATACATACATGCATGCATGCATGCATGCATGCATGCATACATACATACATACATACATACATACATACATACATACATACATACATACATACATACACACGTGCATACATACATACATGCATGCATACATACATACATACATACATACATACAACATACATACATACATACATACATACATACATACATACATACATACATACATACATACATACATACATACATACATACAAACATACACACATACATACATACATACATACATACATACATACATACATACATACATACATACCTACATACATACATACAAACATACACACATACACACACACATACATACATACATACATACATACATACATACATACACGTGTACGTACGTACGTGCGTACGTACGTACGTACGCACGTATGTATGTATGTATGTATGTATGTATGTATGTATGTATGTATGTATGTATGTATGTATGTATGTATGTATGTATGTATGTATAAAAAACTTCAGCACGACAAGCTTAATCCTAATTTTGATCGACACACTCAGTCTCGTGTATACTGTCCGAATAAAACCTACAGCGTAACTTCATGCGGAATAAAGCTGATCATGTGCGCATGCGTCATTCGCAGGAAACATGCGATCGATGAACGAGGATCAGGTGATGTCGCTGCACGAGCTTCTCAAGCGCAAGATGGAACGCACCCGGGGCCTGGTGAGCCTCGGCATGGACCCTTTCCAAGCCGGATCCATGGGCTTTCTCATTCAAGAGCCGGGCGCCTACATCAACGTCTCGCTCACAAAGGTTATAAATGCAGCTTCAATAGACTATGTAATGTTGAATGGGCATACCGACACGACCCTTCAAGCTGTTTGTTTTCTTGGCTAGCACACGTGAACTGCAAAAAAAAAAAAAAAAACCGTACCAACAAGGTCGCTAGAACTTAAGGTATACGAAGTTTGATATGAACATGATATGGGGGTGTGTTAACGTGGCGCCCTCTCTCGGCAGCAATGGGAGGGCGCTGCTGTCACGGACTCGGAAATAGATGAGAAAAAAAAAAAGAATTCTATCTCGTGAGTGTACCCACTCAGATTCACTAAGAGTCAGATAGAGCCACGATTATGAGTGCATCCGGGTGAGTAATACTTCGATTAGTTCGATTCTAAGTGAGTCTGGTTGAAGAAAATGTTGGTTTGTGTGAAAGTGAGACCGAGTGAGTCCTAGGCGAAAATATATTTCATCAATGAGCCTGAGGGAAGCTCTCCATTTTTTGCTGACCAAGTAGGTGAAGGCGAAAAAAAAAATGAAATTTAGCTGCCAGTTCTATACAGCGGATTTCGTGTTAGCGCCGGCGTCGGTCAACTTTCAAAGCGTAGGATGACACATGCAGCGTCACGAGAACTGCTAAAGAAAACAAAGGGGAGAACAAGACGAGAGAGAAACTGATTTTTGTACTCACGAGACACACATAGAGGCTTTCGCCTTAGCGACGAATGCGTGCACCTGCGGTTGTCGAGCTTGCCGAACGAGTTAAGTGATTTGCCATGGGCTTTATTATATTGCCACGTTCCATTTCCCAAGTTTTTGTTATCGTCCGAAAACACCACACGATTCTCAGCGCAAACCGCGCCTGCAGTTTTCTAGAAGGTTCCGGACTGTAGTAGATCATTTCGATAAAATCACGCCCACTGTGCGAACGGTACAGATTGTTCTGGAAGCTGCGCCACCGCCAGCGATAACGCTAGAACATTCGACGGCAAGAGTATAAATGCCGACGCGCTTCGCCGCTTGTCAGTTGTTGATCGAAGGCCGACGCTCCGTTCGCCGCTATCAGTCCGAGACTGCTATCTGTGCGAGACTGCTGCTGTAATTGGACTTTCAGTTTACCGGGCACAGGTTCGCCCAAATAAACAGTTAAATCCTAACACGAAGTCTCCTGTCTTCGGCCACGTCACGACCCCGTGACATCTGGTGGAGGTGCTGCTTCGTTCATGTACCGGACGCCCCCGTCAAGCCGTGAACCCAGCCCACGTCGCGGAGAAGACACCGACACCAACCAGGAGCAGCGAACAAGCCGCCGACAGCAAGGGCTACCACCGGAGTACGGGCTTCTACCAGACAAGGCGCGGAAGACGAAGGCCATGACCGCGACTGCAGCGACAATGACAACCGCAGCGTCCCAGCCCACGATGGTCATGCATCAACCCAGGGAACCACCAATTTTCCATGGGTCATCGTTCGAAGACCCGGAGTCCTGGCTGGAGACATACGACCGTGTGGCCGCCCTCAACCACTGGGACCATGACGAAAAGCTGCGTCGTGTGTTCTTCTATTTGGAAGACACCACAAGGACTTGGCTTGAAAATCGGGAGTCCACGCTCCGAACGTGGGATGTTTTCTGCGGCGCATTCCTTCAAACGTTCGCGAGCGTCGCTCGCAAAGAGAGGGCCGCTGCTTTATTAGAGACTCGGGTTCAGCTACCAAATGAAAATGTCGCCATTTTCACAGAAGAAATGACCCGACTATTCCGTCACGCTGATCCAGTCATGCCTGAGGAGAAAAAAGTTCGTTTCCTCATGCGAGGGGTCAAACAGGAGCTCTTCGCGGGACTGATGAGAAACCCACCGATAACCGTCCAAGAATTTGTAGCAGAAGCGACCACTATCGAAAAGACCCTGGACATGCGCACCAGACAGTATAATCGTCGCCTGACTGCAGACTGCGCTGCTGCTCAAGCCAGTAACTCCGGAGACCTGCGTGAAACGATCCGAGCGATCGTGCGGGAAGAGCTGCGCAAGCTGTTGCCTTCGGCCCAGCCTCAAGTGGATTCAATTGCCGACATTGTGCGAGAAGAAGTTCGGCAATCGCTTCAAATTCCCCACGCACCGCTGCCCGAGCCGGAAGCTATGAGCTACGCCGCTGCACTGCGCCACAACGCTCCTCCCCGTCCACGCCAAAACGCCGCCCCATCGCACTTCCGTCGACAGACGCCACCGCCGCCACCACCCCCACCGACGTCATACCGTTCGCCAGCGGCCCAGCGCAGTGCACCGAGGAAGACTGACGTCTGGCGCACCCCTGACCATCGCCCGCTCTGCTACCACTGCGGCGAGGCCGGACACACATATCGCCGTTGCCAGTACCGACAGATGGGACTGCGTGGCTTCGCCGTCAATGCACCGCGTCCACAGCCAGGAGAACGACCACGTGACATCGCCGACTACCTGACAGGAACTCGGTGGACACCACGAAGCCCTTCGCGTTCGCCGTCGCCCAGCCTCCGCACGTCACCGCACCACCGGCAGTACTCTGGCCCAACGCGGAGCCGGTCTCCTAGCCCGTATCCGGGAAACTAAGGGCAGCAACCGGTGGAGGTGCGGTTGCTGTGCGACGAACTACCGAAGATCCTCCGACGACGACGACGCCGCGACGGAGCTTTCCGAACACAACGCAAGCCAGGCAAAGCCCTGACGGCGAAAGCTCATTTACCGAAGGTGGCCTGACGACGCAGCATGGAAGCAGCGGAACAAGCCGACGCAGCCGTGACCCGACGCCACGCCCTAACTGTAATGCGAGACGGCGAACTAGCGACCTCGACGTTCTTATCGACGGCCACAGTGTGACCGCTCTCGTCGATACTGGAGCCGACTATTCTGTCATCAGTGGGTCGTTCGCCGCGAAGTTAAAGAAAGTTAGGACAGCTTGGAAAGGCCCTGAAATCCGCACAGCCGGAGGTCATCTCGTAACGCCTGCAGGAATCTGCACAGCGAGAATCACCATTAACGGCCGTATTTATCCTACAGACTTCGTAGTCCTACAGCGTTGCTCGAGAGATGTCATCCTTGGCATGGACTTCTTATGCCTCCATGGTGCTGTCATCAACCTAAAAACAATGTCGATAACGTTATCCACAGAAGAAGTACTACCGCCGCGCACGCCGTCAGGACACCATGCCTTGAATGTGCTGGAAGAACAAGTCACCATTCCGCCTCGCTCAAGCGTCATTATTTCAGTCGGCGCTCCCAAATCACCTGACTTGGAAGGCGTCGTTGAAGGCAGTCAGCATCTGTTGGTCACCCGAAATATTTGCGTCGCAAGAGGAATGGCAGAGCTGCGGGGAGGCAAAGCAACGGTTTTGCTCACGAATTTCAGCAATGAGTACAAACATGTGAACAAAGGAACAACGGTCGCATACATCGAAGAAATTGTCGAAGCCACCAGTGCTTTCGCCCTCGCCGATTCTGCGGAACCTGCTCAGAGGAACCAAGCCCCTCCCATAGCTTTCGACGTCAATCCCAGACTTCCAAACGATAAGCAAGAACAGCTCAAGGCCCTGCTCCTGCAATACGAAGATTGCTTTTCGTCGTCATCGAAAATTCGGCAGACCCCAATCACGAAACATCGCATCATAACCGAAGAAAATGCCAGACCACTCCGTCAGAGTCCGTACAGGGTTTCGACGCGAGAACGTGAGGCCATGAAGAGACAAGTTGATGAAATGCTGCGGGATGACATTATCCAGCCGTCCAAGAGTCCATGGGCATCCCCCGTGGTGTTAGTGAAGAAAAAGGATGGGACCCTACGTTTCTGCGTCGATTATCGCCGCCTGAACAAAATCACAATAAAGGACGTGTATCCCCTCCCACGAATAGACGACGCACTTGATCGGCTCCATAACGCCAAGTACTTTTCGTCAATGGACCTTAAGACTGGCTATTGGCAAATCGAAGTCGACGAAAGAGACCGAGAGAAGACGGCGTTCATAACACCGGACGGCCTCTTCGAGTTTAAGGTGATGCCCTTCGGCCTTTGCTCAGCGCCTGCAACGTTTCAACGCGTTATGGATACAGTACTGGCAGGATTGAAGTGGCAGACTTGCCTTGTGTACTTGGACGACGTCGTCGTGTTTTCCTCGAGTTTCGACGAGCATCTTCGGCGCCTTGAAGCTGTACTTCAAGCCATCAAGACTTCCGGACTCACACTGAAGCCAGAAAAGTGCAGATATGCGTATGAGGAGCTCTTGTTTCTGGGTCACGTTATCAGCAAGTCTGGAGTTCGTCCCGATCCACGGAAAACAGCCGCCATCGCCGACTTCCCGCCGCCCACTGACAAGAAAGCCGTGCGCCGATTTCTGGGCCTGTGTGCCTATTATAGGCGGTTCGTGAAAAACTTCGCCCGCATCGCCGATCCTCTCACTAACCTTACCAAGGCCGACGTGGAGTTTAAGTGGGAAACGCCGCAGGAACACGCTTTCCAGGAGCTTAAACATCGCCTCCAGACGCCTCCGTTACTTGCCCATTTCGACGAATTCGCCGAGACAGAAATACATACTGACGCAAGCAGCGTAGGTCTTGGCGCCGTTCTTGTGCAGAGGGCTGACGGACTTGAAAGGGTTATTAGTTACGCCAGCCGATCGCTATCCAAAGCAGAAGCAAATTATTCCACAACAGAAAAGGAGTGCCTCGCCATCATCTGGGCTACGTCGAAATTTCGCCCCTACCTCTACGGCAGGCCCTTCAAAGTTGTGAGCGACCACCACGCATTGTGTTGGCTAGCCACCTTGAAGGACCCCTCAGGTCGCCTCGCACGATGGAGCCTGAGACTTCAAGAATATGACATTACTGTCATTTACAAGTCCGGCAAAAAACACTCCGACGCCGACTGTCTCTCTCGTGCGCCTGTCGACCAACCGCTACCCGACGACCCGGATGACGACTACTTCTTAGGAACGATAACTACCGACGACTTCGCTGAACGACAGAGGGCCGACCCGGAACTTAAGGCCCTAATAGAATACCTCGAAGGCAGGACCGCTGAAGTCCCGAAGATATTCAAGCGCGCACTTGCGTCGTTCTTTCTACGAAATGGTCTTCTACAAAAGAAAAACTTTTCACCGCTTCGAGCTAAGTACCTTCTTGTGGTGCCTTCAGCTCTGCGACCAGAACTCCTGCAGGCCCTTCACGACGATCCGACGGCAGGGCACCTCGGTGTTTCTCGCACGCTCGCGAGGATACAAGAAAGGTACTACTGGCCACGTCTTACCACCGACGTCACTCGTTATGTGAGAACATGCCGGGACTGTCAGCGACGCAAGACACCGCCGGCAAGGCCAGCGGGACTTCTGCAGCCAATTGATCCACCTTGCCGACCTTTCCAGCAGATTGGTATGGACCTACTGGGGCCGTTCCCGACGTCGGCTTTCGGAAACAAGTGGATCGTGGTAGCTACCGACTACCTCACCCGCTACGCCGAGACAAAAGCCCTGCCAAAAGGCAGTGCATCCGAAGTAGCTAAATTCTTTGTCGAAAATATCGTCCTACGTCATGGCGCCCCAGAGGTCCTTATCACCGACAGAGGAACGGCATTCACTGCCGACTTAACTCAAGCAATCTTGGCATACAGCCAAACAAACCACCGCCCGACGACAGCGTACCACCCACAGACCAACGGCCTCACCGAGCGGCTTAACAAGACGATCGCTGACATGCTGTCAATGTACGTCGATGTCGAACACAAGACGTGGGACGCCATTCTTCCATATGTGACCTTCGCATACAACACGGCGGTGCAGGAGACGACGCAGATATCGCCATACAAATTGGTCTACGGAAGGAGCCCGGCAACGACGCTCGATGCCATGTTACCCAACGTCAACGACGAAGAAAACCTCGATGTGAGCGAGTACCTTCAACGCGCCGAAGAAGCCCGACAACTTGCGCGTCTCCGTATCAAGAATCAACAGACGACCGACAGCCACCGTTACAACCTTCGACGACGCTTCGTGGAATACCAGCCCGGTGAACGTGTTTGGGTGTGGACGCCGATACGCCGACGTGGACTAAGTGAAAAGCTTCTGCGACGGTACTTCGGACCGTACAGGGTGGTTCGACGGCTCGGCCCGCTTGATTACGAGGTTGTCCCCGACGGCATCACGAACTCTCAACGACGCCGATCGCGACCTGAAGTCGTCCATGTCGCGCGCCTCAAGCCGTTTCATGCGCGTTAACAAACTGAACTAGTGTTTTTTTGTATTATTGTTGTATCGTAATTTATTCATTGTACTTTCTTGCATTATTATTGTACTTTCATCTTTAGTTAAAGCATCGGGACGATGCCTTTTTTCAGAGGGGGGCAATGCCACGTTCCATTTCCCAAGTTTTTGTTATCGTCCGAAAACACCGCACGATTCTCAGCGCAAACCGCGCCTGCAGTTTTCTAGAAGGTTCCGGACTGTAGTAGATCATTTCGATAAGATCACGCCCACTGTGCGAACGGTACAGATTGTTCTGGAAGCTGCGCCACCGCCAGCGATAACGCTAGAACATTCGACGGCAAGAGTATAAATGCCGACGCGCTTCGCCGCTTGTCAGTTGTTGATCGAAGGCCGACGCTCCGTTCGCCGCTATCAGTCCGAGACTGCTATCTGTGCGAGACTGCTGCTGTAATTGGACTTTCAGTTTACCGGGCACAGGTTCGCCCAAATAAACAGTTAAATCCTAACACGAAGTCTCCTGTCTTCGGCCACGTCACGACCCCGTGACACTATTGTTTGAGAACAATGTTTTTTTTTCTAGAAATATTACACCTACTTTTCTAAGTGGTACCTGCTACGTCGACGACGATTTCTCACTTATTTAAACTTTCTCTGGAAATCTTGCACCTATATATACTTTTCAAAGTGGTACCTGATACGTCGACGACGATTTCTAATTTCAACTAAGCACTGCGCTTACTCTGACGCTACATGCATGGGCTAAGTTTGGCTGCTGTGTTGGCTTAACGATGACTACAGTCGGACAATGTTAGATTTCTTCAAGAACGTCTTCAATCTCTCTCAATTCACTGATCTAGTTGTGTACAAAATTTTATTTTTGTCAGTGACTTTGAAAACTTAAATTGCGTACTAGGCATGCTGGAGAACTCATTGTCAACCAAGTTAAGAAGCACGTGCAAGTGCAAACTTTTCAAAACGCCATCTAGGTTTGGTTGTCGAGCATTCTCGAACACCGGAGAGCTATCACCCGTGGCGTCGCAAATTAGTGCGACGGACGGGACGACGTCAAATAGCCGATGCCGCATTGCTGCTGCTGCTTTTCGCATATGCAAACACTGTGTCACCAATCGATGCCCCGACGTTCCGTCTCTTCATTAGCTCCGCCACGGTGGTCTAGTGGTTAAGGTACTCGGCTGATGACCCGCAGGTTGCGGGATCGAATACCGGCTGCGGCAGCTGCATTTTTTGATGGAGGCGAAAATGATGTAGGCCCGTGCGCTCAGATTTGGGTTCGCGTTAAAGAACCCCAAGTGGTCGAAATTTCCGGAACCCTCCACAACAGCGTCTCTCATAATCACATGGTGGTTTTGGGACATTAAACACCACATATCAATCAATCAATCTTCTATTCATTACAGCTCGCCGTGACGGGACTGTCGAACTTCACCATCCGTGACGTGGCCACCAACAACGCCGCCATGCGCGCCAGCGTGCTCATGATAATGCCCCGGGTGGAGATAAGATGCGCCTATCGCGTCAAGGTGAGACTGCAGACCTTCTCTTGCCTTAGAAGTGTGGCAGCTTGGGCTAGTTGGTATGGCATGACCATAGTTATAGCGCGAGAACAAAACGACGACACAGAGACAAGAACACACACAGAGACAAGAGACAAGTCTTTCGTGTCCTTCTTGTCGCTGTGTCGTCGTTTTGTTCTCGCGCTATAACTATCGTCTTCTCTTGCCGCTCCTTTTTCAAAAGAAGCTATGTAAGCTGTACGTATCTTGGGCTACGTCGTAAAAAGCCATCATCATCATGAGACAGCGCGCTCTTCTTGCAAGAACCAGCGCACGCCGCGGGAACTTGATGATATATATATATATATATATATATATATATATATATATATATATATATATATATATATATATATATATATATATATATATCCCTTTTTGTATGTCGTACAGGTGAGAAAACGCTACGGCGAATGCATGCGTTCTGACTGCCTCTTATTGATTGTGCTGCCGTGCCCACGGTTGCTTTGTGATCCCTTGTGTAACTTGTCCTGCTATTTGAGGGACCTGTTATTACTAGCAGGTGACGTCGAGACAAACCCCGGGCCCGACTTAAAACAAATTTCTCAACAACTAACGCAAATTGCTGGTGATATTAAACAAATTAAAGAAGAACGACTAACCGCTATTGAGTCCAAATTAGAAAAACTGGCTGCCTTAGATGAAAAAATACTGGACTGCACCACAAAAGTTTCCGCCTTAGAAAAAGTAGTATCAGGTCTAGAATTAAAGCTGGATGAATTAGAAAACCGGTCAAGAAGAAGTAACTTGATAGTGTATGGCATCCCTGAGGATGAAAAAGAAGACAAGGAATCACTAGAGCAAGTAATAAACAATACAGTTGCGAAAGGTGTTCTGAAAATTGAACCTGTTTCAATCGAAAGGATACATCGGCTCGGTAAACCAAGCGCGAACAAAACTAGACCAATAATTTTCAAACTCCTTGATGATCGAGAAAAAACAAAGATTTTGAAAAACTGTCATAAACTAAAGGATACCGACATATCAATTAGTGAAGACTTTTCCCAGCGTGTGCGTAATATAAGGAAAAAATTGTGGGACTCGGCGAAACCAAATAAGAAATCCGGGCAAAAGGTACATCTTGTCTACGACAAAATTAGTATAGACCGTATTCTTTATCGCTGGGATGACACCGTAAACGATAAAGTGATGATTGGCGAGGCAAAAAATCCCTCAACTGGAAAAAAAAACCTGCCAAGCAACGGGCCGGCGTCTCGCACTCGAAACCGCCCCAGTTGAGGTTTATAAATGTGAATTGCCGAAGTGTCTTAAACAAATTAGAATCTCTTGAATGCCTACTTCTCGACCTTGAGCCAGACTTTGTTGCTTTAACCGAAACCTGGTTAAATAATGACATTTTAGATAGTGAACTAACGCCCCCAAATTACAATATAATACGGAAGGACAGACCGACACGAGGCGGTGGAGTAGCGTTAATGATAAAACACGAAATTCAATACACTGTGCTGCCAGAGGTTGAAGGTGTAGAAGCTGTCTTTTTGAAACTAAAATTTGGCCTTCACACAACAATTGTGGGCTGCTGCTATCGCAGTCCTACTTCTGGCGAAGATAGCATGCAATCGCTCTACAACTACATTGAACAAAACATACAAAGCGCAAGATTCATCTTGTTGGGTGATTTTAACCTTCCTGATATCGACTGGCAATCCATGAAATTTCATTCCGCATGCTCAGATGTCCTTATCGACACAATGCTGCGATTTAATCTTCACCAAGTAGTCAACCAACCAACACGTGTCCAGGGAGAAACTTCAAATATTCTTGACCTTATATTCTTGAGTAACCACTTCCCAGCCGATGAAACAAAGATTGAAGTTATGGATGGCATATCTGATCACAAGCTCACTTTGTGCACTGTCCCCTTTCGTGATAAAATAGAACCAACGAACATAAAAATTACTTACCCGGATTTTAAATATGCCGACGACACTAGCATACTAAATTATCTAATTTTAAAGTTTCCGTCCTTCGAAGAATTGTCGAATGATAGTTCCACGACCATTGAAATATTATGGTCTCAGTTAAAAGAAATTATGCACCACTGTATTAATATCTTTGTACCTCTTAGAGTGAAAAAAATTAAGAAACATAACCCGTGGATAACACGTGAGGTAATACATGCGAAACGCAAAGTAAAGCGAATACGAAAGAGAATGAAACGAAAACCCGGAGCAGTAACAGTAGATAATTTGACTGCTGCTGTGAGTGACCTAAAAACAAAAATCAAAACAGCGAAGAGCAACTATTTCACTAAAACGTTGCCAAACTTTCTAAAAAATTCACCCAGCAAGTTTTGGAGCTACCTAAAGTCTGCAAAAAACAACAAAAGCAACACACCCCCGGAAAAAGATAACCCGATCACTGCAGACAAAATGAACAACTATTTCAAGTCTGTATTCACTGTCGATGACGGAAACATTCCAGACATCGACACTAGTGCGGAAGGTACCCTGGAACCGATTATTGTCAATGAGGCCGGTGTCATAAATCTCTTGTTAAACTTGGACACAAAAAAAGGAGCAGGGCCTGACAACATTCCTAACATCTTTCTTGTAAGATATGCAGAGGTGCTAGCTAAATATCTGTGCGTCATGTTTAACAAATCACTATCAACGTGCTCTTTACCTGTGGAGTGGAAAAAGGCCAAAGTTGTTCCTGTGCATAAAGGAGGATGCGGAAATGATATATCTAACTTTAGACCTATATCCCTGACATGTACAATCTGTAAAATCTTGGAGCACATAATTCTTAAACAAATAACTGTTTTCCTAGAAGAAAAACGTATATTATCTCCCTATCAGCATGGCTTCCGCCGAGGTCTTTCAACCATAACTCAATTAGTGGAATTAACACATGAGGTATCCCAGAGTATTGACAACCAAAAACAAACTGATCTAATCTTCCTCGATTTTGCCAAAGCATTCGACAAGGTATCGCACAAGAAACTACTTCAAAAACTTGAGGCCACCTTAGGAAATTCTACTGTTCTTAACTGGATCAAAAATTATCTTACTGATCGTACACAGTATGTGGAATTTAACGATGAAACCTCTGCTACCACCACCGTCACATCTGGAGTTCCGCAGGGCTGTGGGCTGGCGCCAATTTTGTTTCTTCTCTTTATTAATGATTTGCCTACAAATATTAAGGAAAAAATCAAATTATTCGCGGATGACTGCGTGCTATATCGAGAAATAAACTCAACGGAGGACCATGTAGCTTTAAATAGTGCTTTACAAGATGTTTCCTGCTGGTGCCGTAAATGGCAGATGTCACTTAATGCAAACAAGTGTACAATTTTATCAGTAAGTCGAAAAAAAACTAGGTCAAATTTTCTTTACACCATTAATGACATTCCCATAACTAGAGTAAGTCAGCATAAATATCTTGGAATTATTATAACTGAAGATCTAAGATGGGATGCACACATAAGTTACGTTACTTCAGCTGCACTACGCCGCTTGTTTACACTCAGATACCGGCTTCGCCAGGCCCCGCCTTCTCTAAAACTGCTTGCATACACTTCCCTTGTGCGATCATTACTGGAATACGGTAATATTATTTGGTCACCATTCACAAAACAGCAAATCACGAAACTGGAAGGAATACAAAGGAAAGCTTTGAGGTTCATCTACAACAAATACAGACATACAGATTCTCCGACTGAACTAATGAAAAAAGCTGGATTACTTACTCTAATGAATAGAACAAGGTTAGCACGTGCAAAATTCATACATGAATTAATACATGGTCATTTAAACATTGATGTATCCGCCTATCTTACGTTTGATCAAACTAGAAAAACACGCCAGAAACACCCAATGAGACTTAACGAATACTCCTTCAACACAAACTGCTTTAGGTACTCATTCTTTCCGTTAGCCACTAATGAATGGAATAAACTGAATCCGAGTATCTCCAGCACTACCGAATTAGCAAAATTTCTAACCCTTGTAGAAAATGAACTTTGTATTATGCAAACGGAATCACCTGGTTGATTTTAATATGGGTGTTCGTGTGAACAACGTACGAGCGAAGTATCATGTCATCATTTTTTTTCTTTAAGCAATTTTTAGTACTGAATCCAGGTGAAGAGAAATCGCCCTGTTGATTCTTGAACATGTTTCTGTTTTTCAGTGTGTATAAATTTGCCCTTCCTTGAAATACTTTGCCATATTGTAGGGTAGTTTCTTATTGCTGTGATTTCTTATTGTGTTTCTTGATGCATATGCCAATATGTCAACCAATGTGTCAACCAAGTCGCTGCATTTATTTTCTTCTGACAACTTCTCTTTACACTAATGTTTTATGCCTTCTTTGATCTGAAATTGTTAAATGATCCGATTCTGTTAGTTTCATTCTGTACTTTATCGCGATGTATGTCTTTATTGTGTACCTATTCGAATTTTTATGTTCACGCCCTTCCTGCTAAAATCCCTGATGGGATTGGCAGTATGTCGAAATAAATAAAATAAAATAAATAAATAAATAAATAAATAAATATATATATGGCCATACTAAGCCATCTGTCTTTCTGTCCTTCTGTTTCTTTCTCTCTTTTTCACATTCACATATATAGAAACGCAACCATATCGTTTCCACAAACACTCGCTCCGCTAAACGTTTGTTGTGCTAGCTAAGCCTGAATAGTTAAGTGCTTTCGCTGGCCTTTTGGACCTGGGGCACCCTGGTACGAATCCTGCCTCGCCCAGAAAATCTCATTTCGCTTTACTTCTTTCTTCTCGTCCCGCTCTACACTTCTCCTCCTTACCTTCATCCAACGCGTTGCTATGCGACACGTGGTGACGTCATTCCTCGGTGATGTTCCGCGAACATCCCACGGGCAAACCTCCGGCAGCCATCTGAGGGTGGGTACGGTTTCACCCTTGGTGTGTAACTTCAACTAACGTTTTTTTTTTTGTTCATAGAAAACATCTTCGCGAAGTGAATGATCACGAGTGGGCGAAGCTAGATGATAAAGTCCGTAACGTATACGTTGATGTCGCCGACTAATATAAAGGTCGGACGGACTAATGGACACATGGTGCAGGTGTTCTTTTTTTATTCAGAGCTGTGTAGCAGGTGTTGTTATACGAATGTGGACGCCGGTACATCGCCGGACAAGGCTAGCTCCTGGCGAGAGTCTCCCCAAAAACCTCCTAGTCCGACTCTGTGATGTTTGCAGAAATATTCGTGGGGTGAAACCAAGGAAGTTTTACGAACATGTGTTGAACCTGCTCCGACTATTTTTTTCCCTACTTTCATATCACCATGAAGCCCTGCCAAGACAGACGCGTACCGCGGCCATCTCGGCAGAACATGCCCAACTTTGTGCCGTTTTGAATTTAAAATGAAGCTGCTAGTATAAAGAAGTGCAAGCAGCGAATAAAATTGACGCAAGTTCTAGTTAAAGCACAGCGACTGCAGCAAAAAAAACTAAATACTGCCGCAGAAGACACAATTAACCAGAGCGACTATGTAAATGTCTTAGTGTACAAAGCTTAGACAACGCAGTGTGTTTAAGGGCGTACTGTCATTTACTATGCTCATCTATGGTATTGTTGTTGCTAACGGCCGTTTCATGGTATACAGCTCTCCCATAGTTAAGTAGAGGAGGAGGAGGAGAAAAACTTTATTAATCGCGAGAGGAAAAGGTGCGGTGGTAGAGTGTCAGAGGAGCCTACCTAGCGTAGGTCTCCGCTAACCTCTTGGCCCAATCCAAGATCTGGTCCGTACTCGAAATCATTAAACACTTTTCCTAAATGCATAATGTACAGGAACGGCACACTGCTCTCCCACAGTTGAGTACAAAGTACTCGAAATCGCTTTATGCTAAACCAACAAGTCATCGTTTCAGCTCTTCCATAGTGTAAAGTACCACGTACTCTAAACCGTTAACCTAAACACACGTGCTGTTCGTTAGGCTCACTGTCGCTTTGCGATTTTTTACCGGGATAGCATACCCCTCTCCCGTAGCAGAGTGCGTCGAATATTTGTTCAAAACGCTAGTTGATAGCGGATAGCTTATAGCTCTCCTGGGTATACATATGTAGGTATACATATGTAGTGCCATGGGTATACATATGTAGTGCTCTAAAGCGTTCAAAATTTATTCTAAGCACACATCGATACGTGTGACGATGCTCCAGTGGGCAACTTACTGCTCTCCTGTAGTAGGGTGCGGGCCCTCGAAATTCCTAGACAGGTGCGACAGTTTTGGGCAGTGCGAGTTGACTACGCATGCTTCAGTCTATAGGTTCACAAGAACTGCATGAGTGCCACCTTCCAGACAACCGACACTTGTGATTCACTGCATGAAGATGCTTCGATTTTTTTCCCTATTTCCTACTCAGCCGATGTATCAATTCTTCCCCGGCCTCCTCCGAAAGTTTTCTGCACATAACGTTGTTTTGCATCGCCTCCAAGATCAAAGCATTGCAAGCATTCTGCACCCTATCTGGTACTGAGTTGCCCCCGTTACCAAACGATGGCATTACGTTATGACGCTCCGTTATAGGGCGTCCCCACATGGTGACATCATGACTAGTGACGTCACCATTGTGCCCCCTAGGGACGTCATCTCGCCATGCCGATTTTTCGAATCGCTCATGTCGAGGCTGACGGACGCTGACGGTCACTTTCCGTGTTTGATGAGGCGTCGAAAGCTGTCGTCTTAAAATTGCATTTCTTCACGAATCAATTGTTACTTCTGCCAGGGCTACATCAGCGGCGAAGGCGAGAGAGAGTCACGCGTCATCGACGAGAGCGGTCAGTTCGAGGCGGTGCTGGGACGGGCAGCGATGTCCTGGTTCGCCCGGGTGCTGCACGTCGACAAGGACGACCTGCTGGTGGCCCAGACAGGTCTGCGCACGCACGTGGACGAGGTCGTGACCAAGCGGTTCCAGCCGACGGCCAAGGCCAGGACGCAGTCCGAGGACCAGGACGTGATGGGCGTGGTCGGCGACAGCATCGTAGACCACGTGCGCCACATGGTCGAGGAGAAGCTGAACAAAGTCATAACCAAGGTGACGACATGTGCGCTTTGGTGGAGCGTATCGCGGCTCATGTTATCACGCTTACAGTCGGGAACGATGCGGAATCGCTGAAAAATGGAAAGTCGCTGGAGTCAACGTTTCGGGAAGTGTGCGATTCGACCTCTTGTTGCCACTTTGACAGACGCATCAACTTTTCGAAATGTTTGTTCCAACGATCACGTGATGAAGCTTACAAACGAAGGGGTTACGAATATAAGCCGGGCCCGTAGCCAGGAACTTTTTCAAGAGAGGGGCCCAGTTGCTGAAGGTTACTATTTAAAAAAAAAGCACCTACATAATCTTTTATTGTTTGGTAAAACACCCCGCTCCATCAAAATTTCAGAAGGAGCTGGGCTAGAGGCACATCCCTGGCCTGAACTGAGCTTGTCAGCTGGATGATTGTGGCTGATTCAAACAGTATTTTAAAGTGGCATCACTTTATGGGGCGCACTGAAAGCGAGTTATTCAGACAGTGGAGTGCTGGAACGAGGAAGGTTCTATTGCGAGATCCCAGATTTGTTTTTTTTATAAAGATCGAAGACCCTTTGTCTGCAACAAAGGTATATCTTACTGGGGAGAACCATGCCGAAAACCAATTAGTTTTCGTTACCACGTCCCAACTAGCAGCAATACTTCCACCAGCAAATTCAAAGGCTTAATCATCACTCACGTATGGGACACCGTCGTTTTGCACAGCGGTAATAACAACAAAATGGTTACCAAGGCATGGGAAACACCATCGAATAAGGCGGGGTTTTAGATGGAGTGACGAGATTATTAATTTCGTAGGGACGAAAGGGAATCTGGTGGGCCGAGATAGGGCAAAGTGGAGATCAGTAGGAGGTGTCTTCGTCCTGCAGTTGAGCTAAGTAGGCTGGATGTTATTCCTTTAACAGCTGGCAGGTTTTACACTCACGTCGTTAACAGCGCCACCTTGCGGGAGTTGTCTGTGTGTTGTGTAAGGGCATAGCGATCCGATTCACCACTATTGGTGAACAACACACGTGGTCATATATGCTTTTGAGGATACCCCTATACATCACAGGCGGTGTCCACAAAGCCCAGCGAAGTGCAGGACCTGCTAGAGTCGCTGGTCGTTCCGACGCCTCACTCCGAGGTACCGCGCACCTTCTCGCCTCACGGTCACCGCATCAGCAAACGCCAGGTTCCATGCAACAACGGAACCGAGCTGGACGACTACGTGGACTACCTGTTCCGCTTCGCCACGCGTCTCATCCGAGCCATGGAGCCCATCCAGGGACCCAACTTCACCATCTACATCGAAGAACATCTTCAGGTACGCAACTATTTAAACGATACATTCAACCAGGAAAAAAATGGCCTCATAGTATCTGCGTGTTTCTCTGCAAATGTCGTCGAAACATGATGGCCTTCTGTCTGGAGGCGCTGCGCGAGATATGGACGCCACCTGGCAGTAATATCGAGAAACAGAAGCTTGTGTAGTACGCAGAGCCTCTGGTAGGTGACAGCACCATATCGTAGGAAACGCCTTTTTTCGAGCATAGCGTCGCATCGCCAGAGCAGCGTATTGAACATGGGGTATTTAAAGTTACGTATGTGTGCATTTTCTAGCAAAAAAACACACCTCCTGATACTTACGTATTGATTTTGCACCACATATATGCGTAATATTTGCTTTTTGATCGACAATGTTCACAAGTATAAATGCAGCCACCACATCAAGATGGCGGGGCTTTAAAAGTTTCGCCGGGACGCTTAATTGTTTCGAGTGACAAACAGACAGACAGACCAAAATTTCTGCGTTGAAGTATCCCAAAAAAAGACTGTCTCCTTATAAAGTCATGGAAGCTACGTGCGGATGGTGAGGAAAGAGCAAAGCTTCTGGTGGCCTTCTCTTCCACACTGCCCTTTCCCGCCACCTTGCTATAAGATGTAACATACATATAGCTATGCTATTGGTTCTTTTTAAAGAACCCCGGTTTGTCTAAATTTACGGAGCCCTCCACTATGGCGTGTCTCATATTCATATGGTGGTTAATATGGTGGACCGATTGGCAACTGTCCATAACATGAAATGAGATGACTCCTCTGGTGGAAATACTGTGCGTAGCATTGACTCAAACCAACACGCTTTTTTTTTCTTTCGTGAGAGTTGGGTTTATATTTTTAATTCTTCATTGCAAGTCACGGAAAATGATCTGTGGCGCCTCTGGCGGCAATAACGTGTACGATCAACACATTTTCGCCAGACAAACGAAATATGCAGTACTAAAAAAATACAAGTCAAACTGCACAACCGATGTACCCGACCACGTGTCCATTGATTTCTGTGCACCGTCGACAACCTTTTTGTTAGTATTGAGATATTGTTCGGTTCTTCATAGTAATTGATATTACCCGATAAAAAAATGTGCCTGTAGGCTTGCGTTAGTATAGTATGCATTATAGTGGCGCTACCTTGGCGCGACATACTCGACACGGCCGTGCATATGCATAGTGACGTTTTCGGTGACGTAGCTTGGCTCGTGTATCGAGAGAGTAAAGACGCTGGGACAAGCCACCATTGACACAGGCATCCTTTGGCGCTGGCCATGTGGCCAACAGAGTGTGGTACAAATACAGGGAACGTGTATAATGTCACAATATCTAATCGTAAAAGCTTGTTATTTACAAAAAATAGTTGACAAGCACAACGTAAAGGTGGTCAAGTGTAGTTACAGGAACTCCTGCGAGAGAAAAACGACGAAATCTTTCACAAATCTTGAGAACTGCTGGCGGCATCACTATCAGTTAACATCGTTTATAGACGAAAGGTACAATAAATAGCAAAAGTTTGCGGGACACGAAATGTTTGATGAAGCTACATCCCCGTTTTTTTTCTGGGAATGTAATTTCGAAATAGATCTTTCGTACTGCACTTGACATTCCAACCTATACAGTCACCAGCTTGATTATAAGCATTGCGCACTGATATTAGCGGAAATTAGCATTTGTTGTGGATTCGCATCTGTTGTGCCGCAAGATTTTGCTGTTGATAGTAGACCTGTGTTTAGGGCGTTTCAGATCAAAAAATGCTGCATGTAAAACTACGTGCTTTTGCGATTAACGACTGCAGCTACAAACACTATACCAAGTGTGAGCTTTCTGTTGCGCCGTAAAAAAATGGGTAGATAAAAATCAGTTGTGGTTCTTTTTCAAAAATTATCACTATGTTTTATTTCTATATGGACATCATTCTTGGCTTGTTTTCGTCATGAGATTATACATATATATATATATATATATATATATATATATATATATATATATATATATATATATATTGTAACGAACAAATACAGTGCCGGAAGCTAAAACAACTATTTATTAATGGCGAACTTGTGCCCGTCAACTAAAATCACAAAGGTTGTGAGCTCACTGGTCAAAACCTGGTCAACTTCTCTAGCGTCTCGCCTCGTGCTGCCCCTCGAAAAACCGCTAGCGTTCCTTATCCAGCGCTTGATGTGGTGACACCTGCAGCCAGCGTTGCATGGCGCGTTTGGCTTGTCCGTTGGTGTAGCAGATTTCAAAGCAGCAGGAAGCGGCGCAGGACTTCGGCAGGTTATCCCCTGATGAAGGGAGGACCCCTCCCGAAACTGTTGGGAAATAAATATATTTATCCTTGTTGACAACGCTCCCGTTGTGCCATATCCCATATCCTATATATATATATATATATATATATATATATATATATATATATATATAATCCGCATCTTCCTACTGGGGGAACTCGAGTAAATGCGTCGCAGAGTGGTGGGAGTATCGCGTCAATTTTCCGTAATTCGCTATGGTTCGGGAATGCTTATTTGTTGCGTCGTCTTTATTATTCGTATTTATTGAATGGAGTAGAAGTGTTGCCTCCAACGTCAAGAGAACGCCAAGTAAAGATGCCCTTGACTGAATTACGAACGCGCGATCGAGTGCCTACATATGCGGCGTGGCCGGTGAACGGTTGTGCAGCGCGAGCAGAAGCGTTTTTAGGAGCAGACGCTGCCTGCGTCGGCCTTGCGAGGCGAGAAAGGGAGAGGGGAGCGACAGTTTTGCGGGCGTCTTCCCGGGCCGGCACACGAGACGCGAGCATGCGGAACGAGACTCGAGCATGCGCAGTAGCGGTGTGGATATTTTATATATTTTGCGACGTGCGGAGTCCGACGGGCGACCTCTCGCTACGCGGCGCGCGGCGTTCACCCTTCGGCCACGGAAGCACACGTCTTTCAACATACTAACGCCAAGCTGTTTGCGTACACTGTTTGCCGACGGCGGTACCCTTGTCTCCGGGGAATATCAGCGTGTTATCTGCATTATCAGTCAGATGACGCGAAGCGGCGAAGGGCGCACTCGGCACCCGCCCCGTGCACTCTTTGCGATACATGCGTTCTTCAACGTGTAATTTGCCCTAAGGGGCGTATTCGCTCGCGTGCGCGCGCTTATTGCGTGATAAGGGCGGTTAGTACGTCGTGTGCTTCCCCGGAAAGATTGCGTTACCGAACGCACGGTCACTTTGCTCGCTGCAAAGGCATCTTTGCGAATGGCGAGCACTGTTTGATTGATATGTGAGGCTTACCGTACCAAAACTACCATATGATTATGAGAGACGCTGTAATGGAGGGCTCCGGAAATTTCGACCACCTGGGGTTCTTTAACGTGCACCCAAATCTGAGGACACGGGCCTACAGCATTTTCCCCTCCATCAAAAATGCAGCCGCCGCAGTTGGGATTCGATCGCGCGACCTGCGGTCAGCAGCCGAGTACCTTAGCCACTAGACCACCGCAGTGGGGCTGGGGAGCGCTGTTCAAACACAGTAAAGCAAGAACTGACTTTTGTTGGTTCGCGCTCGTCCTGTGCGCACGTTTCATGCGTCATTTGTGTTTGAGCAGTGCGTTAATTCTCGAGCTGTGAACGTTGTTAGTTCGCGCCATCTAGTCTCGTGTGTGTTCTTTCCGTGCGTAATTTGTGCTTGAAGGGCGAAGCAATGAATGCGATAGCAACAAATATATATTAGCAACAGTCAGTGTCGTCGCACGGGCGAAGCAATGAATGCGATAGCAACAAATTGGAATGCCACGCAGAGTACGGCAAGCAGATCGGAACGTGCAGTTCTCTGGCCCACAGCAACACGATCATACGTTTCCCGCAAGTTCTTGTTCTGCTAGCGTGTCAGGATAGCCGAATGGGCAACGACGCTGGTTTTCGGGAAGTGGGTTACCGGGGTTGCAAGCCTGCCTCGCCAAGAAATGTTATTTATTTGTTTCTTCCCCACCTCCTCTGAAGTTTGCTAGGCATTGCTGGCGAAAGTGGAGAGGAGGAAGCTAGGCGACACAACGTGACGTCAACTGACGGCGAGAATCTGCGCACACCGAACAGCCTACAGATTCGCTCTTGAATGGACTACGCGAGACGATATTCTTATTTCTCGTGTCGCAAAGAAAGCCCGCGAAACAGAAAAGGTAGTGGACTTACACACGACTGTGGTGGCTGAAGCATGCAAAAGGAAGCAGTCTTCAGCGTGACGGTGCCGACGGAAAACTGACAGTTGTTATGCCAGCGAGTCCTCGTCAAACGTCCGTGCCTCTGAAAAAGGCAATCTGGGTCAAGGCCAGCCCGCAGTCCGCCTGGCGCGATCAACTCGACGGCGTGAACACGCGCGGCGCCCTCTGGCCCACGTGCATTGAGTCAGCTGCGCACGTGACAGCGAGCCGGCGTCCTCGTGTCTGGTGGTCTGACGCATGGCGCGGCAACCCCATTGGAGGAATCTGCCCTGACGACCAGCGGCGCTTCTGATTGGACATTTTGGTTGGACCCGGTGTAAATAAAAGAAGCCCTGCGGCGCGTCGCGATCGGCGGTCCTACGAGAGAGGAGTCCCCATGTCGGAGAGCCGACATGTGTGTGAGTCAGCGGTCTTAGGCGAAAAGTTGACCTATGTATTAGAGAGGAGAGCTCGGCTCTTCGAGTCTCTGTCGGCCCCAGTGCCGAAATTGTAACGCCTCTGTATATATGCTGTACATAAACCTTGTTTAACTCACCGTCGTCTCGTCCGCTCGTCTTATCAGCTCTGCGCAGAAGCAGTCGCGGGCTGAGAAACATACGCTACCAAACGGCTGGTGACCTTCCCGGCAGAGTTGAAAGCAGTGGCGCCTTCGGGGCCGTGTTGGCGTCGCCGTCTTTCGCAACAGTGGTGGCTTCGGCGGGATCGGTCCGTCTTTCGCAACAGTGGAGGTCAGCGGTGAGATTCGGAGGTGCCTTCGCAACAGTGGTGGCAGCGGTGGGATCG